GGAGTAACATTTGCAACTCTGAAGTCCTCTGGCACCACTCTGGTTTCCAAGGAGGATTGAAAGATGTGGCCAGAGCCTCAGTTATTTCCACCCTTACTTCCCGCAGTAACCTAGGAGCATCCCGTCCGGATCAGGTGACTTATCTAACTTGAGCACTGACAACCTTTTTAGTACTTCCTCTCGGTTTATTCTCATCTTATCCAATTTCTCTACCTGCTTCTCCAATACAGCATTGGCTACATCCTCTTTTGTGAACACAGATGCAAAATTCAGTACGTCAGCCATGCCCTCTGCCTCCACAAGAAGATTTCCTCTTTGGTCTCTAATTGTACCCACCCTACCTTGACTCACCTTTTATTCTTTATATGCTTATAAAATACTTTAGGGTTTCCTTTTATGTTACCCCCTAATCTTTTCTCATACAATCTCTTTGCCTCTTATTTCCTTTTTCAGTTCTCCTCTGTACTTTCTATACTCTATTTGATTGGTATTTTGGACCTGACATTTATCATAAGCGTCCCTTTTCTGTTTTATTTTAATCCCAATTTCCTTATTCATCCAGGGAGGTTTGAATGCCCTACTTTTCCCCTTTATGGGAATGTATTTATTCTGTCCCTGAACTGTCTCCTCCTTGAGGGTTTCCCATTATTCGTTAGCTGCTTTACCTGCCAATCTTTCTTTCCAGTCCACCTTGGCTAGGTCCCTGTTTAACTCCCTGTGTAGCCCTCTTCCAGTTGAGTATCTTCACCTTTGATTGTTCCTTGTCCCTTTTCATAAGTACTCTAAATCTAATGATGTTGTGATCACTGTTGTCCAGATGCTCTCCTGGTCCAGACCCGCTCCACTTACCCCAATTCATTCCCCAGAACTAGATCCAGCACTGCTTCCTTGCTTGTTGAACTGAAAACATACTGATCCTGAAAGTTATCCTGCACACATTTCAGGAATCCTTCCCCCTCCTTGCCCTTTACACTGTTATTTTGCCAGTCTATGTTACGGTAATTGAAGTCCCCCATTATCACTACTCTAATGGTTTTGCAACTTTCTGAAATCTGTTTGCAGATTTGCTCGTCTATCTCCTTCCCACTTTTTGGTGGTCTGTAGTACACACTTAACAGAGTAACAGCTCCTTTTCTGTTCCTTAACTCTAACCAAATAGCTTCTACTTTTGGACCCTCTAGCACATAGTCTCTTTCCAGGGCCGTAACCGTGTCTTTTATCTATTGCTACTGCCTCTCTTTTTCTTCCTTCCCTATCCCTCCTCAATACATTATAGCCAGGAATATTCATATGAATAAAATAATAAACCTTGCATTTGATATGGTGCTTTTCACATCTTCTACACATCTCAAATTGCTTCACAGGATATACTATAAAGTGAATTGACTGTATATTTGTGGGCGAAACATGGCAGCCAATTGCCCCACAAAGAGTCGTGGTTTGAAATGACCAATTTTATTATTTTTTTTCTTGAGGGATTATTATCAGGCGGTGTGGAGTAAGGAAACTTGTCCATGATGTCTTCAACGCTGGCACCAGGGAGGCAACATACCATGGAAGAGTCACGTCCTTGGTTGCAGAAACACCTGTCTGCTCGTTTCAGCATTGTGTCCCCAATGTTAATTGTATTGAGACTCTTCCCTGTGTCCCCCTGTGCCTCCATTTGCTTTTGACTCCTCTCCCCAGAGGTGTCATCGCTGGTATTCAGTGCAGAGAACCGGTTTGTGAGTGCCACACTCTCAGGGGATTTCTGCACTGCCCATCCCCTCTTCCTATCGTGTCAGGAGGTCTCCCACTCACTCTCCTTCTGAACCCTCTGTGGCTGTGGGGTGATCACCTCCTGAAACCTTCGATCCATGAACTCTTCAGTCTCCCGAATGCTATGTAGTGACGCCAGCCTCTCCTTGAGCTCAGAAGCCCTGAGCTCAAGGTCAAACAGCCGGAGGGATTTCCTATGTTCCATGGGAGACAAATGATTGATGTTTGTCCAGGGCATAAAAAGCATCCTGGAGTTCCCACATGGCACAAATTGTGCATGCAGCTGGTCTCAGCTGCCCTACCATATTCCCAGACATGTTTTATATAACTTATATATTTTATAATTATGCACCTCTTTTCCCCCACTGCACCAAATTCCTTAACAGAATTCTCACTGTTCCTCCTCATGCTGCTGGGCTCTCTGCTCAAGTGAGGTTCTCGCAAGTCTTCTCCTTTGTATAGGACTCAAACAAAAGCACCCAGTTTTGACTGGTCAGCAAATTTATTAATCCCCAACATCTGGCCCATCATTAACTGCTAATTGACCTGTTTACCCACAAGTTTGTCTCTACCTCAAGAAAGATTTCTCACTCTTCTGCTGAATGAAACAGTTTCTCTTGCTCTGTGGTATCTCTTGCTGAAGAATTCCCACTCTCACCAAATTCCTTAACAGAATTCTCACTCAGTTCCCTCCTCACGCTGGTGGGCTCTCAGCTTAAGCGAAGTTGTCTTGACATCCATGCAATCATCCTCAGATGGCATTGTCTAGTACTTTTGATTCTTAAGTCTTTTCATGGAACTTGTCTTCCACCTCCTCTCTCTTTCACCACATGGTGACCTAGAGCACCATTACTCTCCCCAGCATTTGATCATCTGTAGACAACTATTATTTTAACCTGACTGGTTGAAACAGTTACTGTCTTCCTTCTTGGAATTAGAATGCAAATAGACTTGGTTCAGTATTTTCACCACCTTGCTCAGTTTGGAAATCTAACCCTCAAAGTTCCAGTTTTGCAATGGCTTTTCCAAGCCACATAATGCTCCTCTTGATACTCGCAATTTTCTTTCAGTTTTATGTCCTTCATTGTGCTCCAATCATGTACACTAGAGATTCTTGAAATTCTTCTAACTGTACGGTGCTAATACTAGTAGGAGTTTGAGTTATTGGAGTAATCATTTGTCTCCCATGGAACAGATAGAAAGGTGTAAAACCCGGTCTGTCACTCAAAGGTGACATCAGAACACATGGAATTATTTCGTCCCATTTGTTTCCTTTTTCAAGCACGCTTTTTTCAGCGCATTCTTGATGCTTAGTCTGATGATTAGCTGTTGAACCTTTTCCGAGCTTCCCAGGTGATATTTCCTCCAGCTGTGACCCCGAGTTCATATTTCTCTTGGCTTGTCTGGCGGATATCGGGGCCTGGATGAGCGAAAACTTTCTACAACTTAATGTTGACAAGACAGAAGCCATACTCATTGGCTCCCATCGACGTCTTCTATCCTGCGGTTTTGACCTCCTCAACCTCCCTGGCCTACCTTTCAAACTTACTGAACCAGTGCACAACCTAGGCGTCAGATTTGACTGACATCTGTCCTTCCTTCTCCACATCCGGTCCCTGACTTCATCCACCTCCGCCACATTGCACGCCTCCGACCATACCGTACCCCGGACGCAGCCAAAACATTCATCCATGCATTTGTCACCTCCCGATTCGACTTCTCAAATGCCCTCATACTTAACTGTACTAAACTCTGTACCCCCATCACGGCAGTTCTAGCCAGGCTCCTTATCGCCAAACGGATCAACTACAGACTATCTATAGCAAATATCATTAGAAAGAGGTAGAGCATTAATTAGTACAAGGTGGCCATGACATGGTGCAGGGAAGATTTACTAGAATAGGACCAGGGATGAGGGACTTCAGTTATGTGGAGAGGCTGGGATTGTTCTCCATAGAGAAGGTTAAGAGGAGATGTAATAGAGGTGTTCATTGTTTTGGGGTTTTGATAGAGTAGATAGGGAGAAACTGTTTCTAGTGGCAGGTGGTTTGGTAACCAGGGAACATAAATTCAAGATAATTGGCAAAAGAATCAAGAGGAGGGATGAGACTTTTTTTACAGAGTTGTTACGGTCTCGATTGCACTGCCTGAAATGATGGTGGAAACAGATTCATTGACAGCTTACAAAAGGGAATTGGATAGTTACTTGAAGAGGAACAAGTGCAGGGATATGGGGGATGAGCAGGGGAGTGGAACTGATTAGGTAGCTCTTCCAAAGAGTTGGCACAAACACAATGGGCTGAATGGACTCCTTTTGCATACTAATATTCTATGATTCTGTGATTTTTTGTGGTTGAAATAGGGTATTAATAGTGGCATCTGCAGGCAGAGTGGGCTTGCCATGCCAAGGCTAACCTTTAGTGGATTTTCTTCCACCTCAATGACATGTGTAAAACAGACTAAAATAAAATGCATGAAGGTAATTGCATGCTGGGACAAATATAGGCAACACTGTGTAAGCTATTCTGCTAACACATCAATATTTGTTTAAAACCACGGCCTGTCTAAAAATGCATTACTTTCCTGTTCCATTCTAGATTTCAAGGTAACATTTGGTTGTCTAAGATCATGACTGTTAGTGTTGTCTGGTCAAGACGTAATTTTTTTCCATATCCATTTGGAATTTTTTTAAAAATCCTTTTGGTTTAAATTTTTTTAAATTTCTCATTATGCTTTTTCCATGTAGGCATCCTGTAGCTTTGTGGTTAGAGCACTCGCCTCACAAGCCAGATGACCTGGGTTTGATTCCTGGGCTGGGCAAAACATTGGTCAAGTTTCATTACTCCACCCGCCTTTGTTTACCAAGCAGTAAGTAGGGACCTGGTTGTTAGTCGACTAACAGATCGCTTTTCTGTGGGTAATAATCCATTTTTTAAAAGAAAATTGCCACTCAATCCACAACTGTTTGTGGGATGCTGCTGTGTGCAATCGGCTGCACGTTTCGCCCACAAAATATACAGTCAATTCACTTTACAGTATATTCTGTGAAGCGCTTTGAGACATCTCAAAGACGTGATAAGGCACTTTAGCAAATATTATTAAATACATCTTGTCCAGTCAGTTTGGAGTGATGGCATAGTTGAGATACCCTGCTGAGTTTTTTATGACTGTCTTGCTGAAAGTTTGTATTATAAACTAGCAGTGTTGTACATGTAAAAACGAGTATCCTGTTTCCTACCTAGGTCCTCGTCTGGTTAGTGGTGGCAGCACACATGAAACTTCTTCAGTCTTGGTAGAATCGGTGACCAAGTCATCCATTAGCAGCTCCTACAGTGCTGTACCTAAGTTCTCTTCTGATGCCAGCAAAGTAGTATCCAGAGGTACTGGTCTCAGCAAGGCACATGTGGGACAGAAAAGCAGCTTTACAGTGGACTGCAGCAAAGCAGGTAAAACTTTATATCATGTTTGTCCTTTGTAAGATGCATTCAAAATATAGCCCTCCATACATTTCTGATTCCTGGTCAATCCACTTTACAGTATATTCTGTGAAGTGCTTTGAGACGTCTTGAAGATGTAATAAGGCACAAGGTCAAATGCAAAGATTATTATTATTTAACCATTTTGCTCACATTGGGCAAACTGGGACCATTCTAAGAAAGGAACCAGATTGAATTAAGATGTCAAACTCCCAAGCTCATCCAGTCGGATCTGAACTGATTTTGGCCCAACAGGTTTTTAAATCAACTTTTGTCCAGATGTAATGTGCATTCCAAGATGTATTTCTATGTGCGTAGACTATTGCTGAATCTGCCTTGAAAACCCTAATTCCAACTGTACTGCCAGTGCTACATGTTAAGTCTCTGCAGGTGCTGCTTTAATAATGCTCAAATTGCATATGAAAATGGAATATTGGGTGGTTTGCCATAACTGCTTTTCACATGGAACCTTTTCTGCTCTAAGCATTGCAGATCTTTGAAAATAGTGGAGCAATAGTCACTTGCTATGTTGGCTGATGTCCGTGCATATGATTTGTAATTGTTTGAAGCTGATTTTTTTTAAAGCGTATTTTACTGTCTAAAAGTTGCCCAACAATGGAAATGGTGGCTGGCTGCATAAATTTTAACTATTTGAGTTAGAGTGAAGCCAAGCATGATGGTACTTTCTTACCAATCTGTTAGTGCTGTCTCAGCTCGTACTCCAGGACTTGTATCCAGCTCTTAAATAGTATCTGCCAGAGGTAAGATTTTGGTATGGTAAACTCAGCATGTCACATTCAAATTGATGCTTAGTGTGCTTTGGTTGGCTTGTTACTGTGATATTGAATACTCAGCTGAAACACCTGTAACATGTCCCAGTTGGGAATTGCCTCAAGGTACTAAAGCAATAGTTTAAAAAAACAGTCTATGTAACATTAAATTAATAATTTACTTGGTACCTGTACATCTCTCTGTGTGACTTACATTTGTATTGTATTTGTTGTCTAGGTTTTTCCATGGGTAGCTTACTGTTCAGAGCTCACAGTTATAAAAGGGGCATCTCAAAATTAATGCCTCCTTTCTATTTTCTCAAAATTCTTTAATTGGTAACTTACACAGATGCAAAAGAACCTTTTTTAAATACACCAGTGTACTTATTTTTCCACCATCACGTTCTACACGCTTGCGCCAATGTGGAAGCAGTGCCAGTTTGCCTTTACGGTAAAATGATGTGCAAATGGCCTTTCTGTGAAAGTTGATTAGCATTTGTGGAGCCCATTGAGCATGGGTTACCAATAAATCATCTCAATGCCAAGACTCTCACTCAACTCGCTCTGAGTGATGAGTCGATCTTTGCAGATCAGTTCATCAACTGCCTCATGTATTCTCTTCATTAACAGCTGTTGCCAGCCACCCTCTGTGGGGGCCTGTCTTGAAGTTCAGTTTCTCCACTTTTCACACAATTTATACGGCGTCTTAAAGTACTCGCATCAACACATAATTGTCCCTACAGTTTCATCGTGTGATGCTGAATTTCAATCCACGAAATCCTCTCAGCTGTGAGAAATTCATTTACTGCTCTCTGTTTAACAATGCTAGGTGCCATTTTGTGTATCAATGCTAGGTGCCATTTTGAACTGTTGTCATGTGCCTCCATCTAGTCAGAAGTAAACAAAACTTTCACAGCAGGGCAGGATTTATAAAAATATCTTGTGTATGCTTTTCATTACTGTACCACTTACAATTCTTCATAAAATAAATAGGATGCATTACATTTGGTTGTCCCTCATATTATCTCAGTGCTGCATTAAAATATTTTGATGCAGTCCTCCCCTCGCTACTTTTTGAGATGCCCAAAAATTTCAACAATTTCAATGAAATGTGACTCCTAAGTAGAAAAGGGATATTATGTACCTTTGAATGGTATTCCCTGGCATCTAACTATCTAGCCTTTTGCTTGCTCATATCTGATTTTTTTAAATGATGGGATGGGATCTAGTGCTAGAGTCTAATTGGTCAGGATAGACTAAGGTGAATGTGGTGTTTGTATTATTGAATGCTGAGTACACAATACTTTACTGAAGAGGTGTATCTGCATTTACAAACAATGAGATTCTGTTTGCTTGAATGCTTCCATGCCTGGAGAATTTTACAGGCTTTGGTGATTCATCCAAACAGAGGAACATATGGGGAGTATTCATTGCTTAAGCAAACACAGGTGTTATGGCATGTGTGGTGCACAAGCTCAAAACTTGGGGAGCTGCAACTATTCTAATCATTTTCCTCTACAGGAAATGAGGCCTCTTTGTTTTTTATTTGGATAATGTTATAAGACTGACAGCTTTGATTTTGTTCAAATGGATTGTTTTTAAAGTGATTCAGTGGTGGAGCTGTAAAATTTCTCTTCCGGTTGGGAATATGTATTCAGATACATAACTTTACCATCCTCCCCATTCTACCTCTTGCTCTACATTGAGTACTTCAGATCAGTGATTTGGTTTGGTGATTCACCTTGTCTGGGATCACACAGATCAACACAGTATATTGACTTTGGATGCAGTTACAAGATTCATGTTGTGTGAATCTGTAAAAACCAAGAATCCGCCTTTTTTAAATTCGTACTATCAGCAGAGGCCATTCAGCATCGAGCTGCACTGCTCTGGCAGTCGCTCAATTCTTTGTTAAGCGGTCTGCAAAAGTTGCTAAATAACAGGTAAGCTTGAAGCTTGTACAGAAACAAGGCGACCATTGAAGTTGGAAAGACTCGTTGTACAAATGGCCACTGTAAAAGAGTAAGATGTGGACATGTTAGCACTAATTCATTAGCTAAGAATGTGCCATTGCATATCAATTGATTATGCAAATTCAGAGTGAGTTGGAAAACGGTGTGTAAAGGAGCAGTCACAGGAATTGAATTTGCCTACATTTAGATAAGTTGCTGTGACTTCCAGTAATGAGACAATACACTAGAAAAAAATTATAGTCCTGATTTATTCCTTTGGAATGCCTGGTTTCTAATTGATTACATTTTGCAATCTAAATTTGTTGTGTTTGATTTCCTTTTAATTTTGTTTTTATAATGTTAAATCTATAGGTACATTTTGCAGGATTTCTAAACTATTTAGCAAATTCGTTTAGGAATCAAACAAATGTTATCCCTCAGTTTGTTGTGCAATATATTAATGCATTTTTTTGTTTAAGGAACAAATATACTGCTGGTTGGTGTCCATGGGCCAACTATTCCTTGTGAGGAGGTCTCTGTGAAACATGTGGGAAAAGAACAATATAACGTGACCTATGTAGTCAACGAGAAGGGACGCTACACTTTGGTGGTAAAATGGGGTGAAGAGCACATTCCTGGTAGTCCATTCTGTATCACAGTACCATAAAGGCCACCTCCCATTTTCAACAATGGAACACTCCAATTCACAGCCTTGAGTTTTTAGAAGATGCCACAATTGCATAAAAAATATCTACTATGAGGTGGACTCCATTAGTCTTACAATGCTCTTAGTATCAGCTGGTTTAAAGGATAGATTGGGTAAAAGTAACTAGCTTTACCATAATTCTCATTGTGTAGAAACAGAATATAGTATGGATTTTGTATAAATATGAGCTAAACTGACAATTGTAAAACTCGATAAATATGATGGTATTCTGGGCCTATTTTGCAGTTTGACTGAAGCCACAGACTTTCTTGGTCTTCAGTCAAACTCATACTGAACACTAACATGGGCAGGAATTGTACTGTTGAATTTTGAAGTGATTTATTTTCCAGACATGACAAATTTCTTACTTAGTCTAAGGAACTGTATACACTCCAGGTTGGTATTCTATTGGGATCAGTTCTACTGTGGAGTAGATTTCACCTCGGATGTTGTTTTCACAAGGAGTGTAGAGACAGACCAAAGCTTCATAGTAGTTGCAAGAATCATCATTTAACCAGTGGAGATTCTTGGACTCCCAAAATTTCTGCTAAAATGCGTAAAACACTGATAGTCATAATTTTTTTGATGGGGAAAATTTTGCTGCCGTTGTCTTCTATAACTTTTCTATGTCTAGCCTTATCTACAATTTCTGCTTCAGAATATTATGGAACTGCAGAACTTAAGGATTGAATGAAAATAAAAATGAGGGTAGCAGAAGATTTCTTATGTACATTTGGGTCTGCCTTCCCAGAAGACAGGTGCCTTCCCAGAAGTAAAATTCCTCAACTAATGCTGTTTCTTATAGTCTGAGCTGGATAAACTCGAGACACAAATCATGCTTATACTTCTTCCCCTACCCCCTACCACCCATACATTTTTTTGACAAATATGCTGCCATTTTAATGTACCTAGAATGTGAAACCCTCTCACTTGGGCACAATGGTGGATGTTTTGCACTTATTCAGTACTTCAGACTGTATTGTATACAGGAAATGAAGATTAAGTGGGAACTGTGTTTGAAATGTCACTGTCTTCAAGCTCAGAACTTCAGCTGAAAACCATGTGGATTGTATGAGATTTTGGTCTCCCATCTTTTGATTTCTAATTTCACTAATTTGACTGACTGGTTAATTGGGATAAAACTGGAAAAGATTTCCAGTCACGATATTGAAACACTGCACAACCTTGATCTTGTACCTAGTTAATAATAGCCAAGTTAAAGTTCTCTGACCAGATCCTTGCACATGCTATTTGGGTGAAACCATAGTAATTCAGTTTGCACAATGTCTTAACCTGAGATCAGACATTACATTACACAGATTGTTTCGCTTAAACTGAACTTTAAGTTCTATTTATATTCTGACCTTAACTCTACTAATTGTTTTCCTTCTGGAGCTTATTTTGTAATTGAATGTTGTATCTTTACTGATAGCAAGTTAATAAATCAGTGTCCTTTTTCCATTTTACAATGCTTTGTGCCTTACTGTGAAAGTCTTAATGTAACTTGGAATTGACCCAATAAACTTTAAATGCAAAATTGCTTGAAGCATAGTTTCATTAATTTCAGGCTACATGTCAACTGTGCAGAGAATTGCACTCTGCCCTTGATAGTTATTTTTGTGTTTTCATTTGTAGTGCCTGGCAACAGCTTGGCCATGTACATTCACTGCAGCTCAGTTGGCCCAGACATTCAGAATGGAGCTTAAGGACCAGATGTGCAGGTCATAAAGACATGGATTTCTGAATGTGAAACCCTCTCACTTGGGCACAATGGTGGATGTTTTGCACTTATTCAGTACTTCAGACTGTATTGTATACAAGAAATGGAGATTAAGTGGGAACTGTGTTTGATGTATCACTGTCTTCAAGCTCAGAACTTCAGCTGAAAACCATGTGGATTGTATGAGATTTTGGTCTCCCATCTTTTGATTTCTAATTTCATTAATTTGACTGACTGGTTAATTGGGATAAAACTGGAAAAGATTTCCAGTCACAATATTGAAACACTGCACAACCTTGATCTTGTGCCATAGATCATAGACCCATTTGGGGAGTTGGTAAGGTTATAGAAAATGTTTAAGGCTCATACAATTAAGCTTGCGGTTTTTGTTACTTGGGACACATGCAGAAACTCACTGTTCCAAATTAATTCCATGTACCCTCCTTACTTAATTCTGACTCCACCTGCAGGATGCAAAGCAGGTTAACGATGGTTGAGCCTGCTACCTCTTGCAGCTGCTTCTTCCTCACCTCACCTTTTTTTTACCACAAATCCACCTCACCACATGGTCCTGGACTTCACAAATGGGCTGAAGCAAATCCCTCTATTGCATGCATGCCAAGGAACTTCGAACATGAACTGTTTTGACACAACTCATATGTCATAAGCCTAACCAGCATTGGAAATGTCCTAACATTGAAGAGTGAGAATGACCAGAAGACCACGTTGAAGCAAACATCCTCCACTACAAGCCCTGTAAGTTAATAATTTAGATGGATACCCCTTATATTTTCTTATCAGTGCCTTCATGGTCCTCTTTGGAGCTGTGCAGAGCTGTGGTACTACATTTCGGTACCACCATTCATTATCTTACACTGAATTGACCAGTATTCAAGTGAGCGAGTGCAGTCCATGCCATCTCGAGGAGCATCTACCAAACCTATAAACTGAAGCACCTCAATTTTATACTAGATACCTAAAACACATGCAATGTTCAATACTGATGAATAAGGTAAGAGAGACATTTGCTTTACATTCTCGTTCCAGGCTAGTTGCTATTTGGGCCAACAATACAAAGAATCTCCCAGAGAAAATCTCAGGTAATCTCCGATTTACAACCATTGTACCCTCAGAACACATTTAGTCTTTCAGATTCCTCGCATTGAACACTAGTGGACAGAACTTGACACAACTTGCGGGAGGGATGAGGTAAGCAGGATCTTCTTGTAGCTGAGCTGGTTGTAAGGTGCCGTGCTTGGTAATGGAATGTCAGAATCGAGTCAATCCTCTTTGGTGGTCTCGGTTGCCTGGTTCCTGAGCATGTCTGCAGTAAAGAAAGACACTGCTGTTGATAGACCAGCCAGCTTGGAACACCAGTAGAACTTTCAAGTGCAGACCCATCACTTGGATCAAGGATTCCTCACACTTGAATCCTGTTAATAAGACAAGTCAAAGACCTAATAGTGGTGGTCTGGTTTGAAATTTGACTTGTGATTTAATCACAATCTTTAGGATGTTCTTTTAGTGTAAAACAAGTTCTTTCATGATGTAAAACAATACAGTGCAGTTCCATATAATATTTTGAAAACAATTATCTCCTTCCTATCCAGGACGTCTGTGGGCTCATTATTTGTTGTGTAATTTGTTGTGTAGCAATCTGCCAGCTTGTGTGTGAAATAACCATGTATCAGACAGACTAATTTCTTGTGTAAGATTCTAATTTATAAAGTCATTGTTAACTCTTCAAGGTAAATGTTAACAGTTTATACATTGCAATTGCTCAGCATTGATTCTCCGCCAAGTTGTTTAACGTTAGCCAATAACTTAGAGAATATGAAGTGTTAGAAAATAAATCAGCATCCAACAGGATAGATTTGTCTTGTGTGTTAACTTAGCCTCCCTGAAAATTTCACAACAGTGTTATGATCGTTTTACCACATTAGAATTACATTTGACTATTGTACAATACTTTTTAGTGGTGTACAATACAAATACAATATAAAATACCACTTTACATTTGTAAAGTGCCTTTCGCATCGGGAGGACGTCCCAAGGTGCTGGACGGTCAGGGATTTGGACCTGAGCTGGAGGGGATTGGGATCAGGGAGGGTGGAGGGTAGGAGGGTGGCTGAAGGCATGGTCAAAGAGGAGGGTCTTGAGAAGTGCCTTGAAGGAGGCAAGGGAGGGAGTGAGACAACAACAAGATTCCATTTATAGAGCGCCTTTCACATCGGGAGGACGTCCCAAAGCGCTGGACAGTTGGGTCAGGACCCGAGCAGGGGGGAAATGGTCAGGGTGAGGGGAGGGAAGGGAGGGAGCGAGGAGGGGGGGAAATGGTCAGGGTGAGTGGAGGGAAGGGAGGGGGCGAGGAGGGTGTAGAGAGTCGAGAGGGGAGCTGAATGCATGGTCAAAGAGAAAGGTCTTGAAACCGGCCTTGAAGGAGGAAAGGGAGGAGGCAAGGCGAAGGCACTGGGGGATAGTAGGTCGGAGCGTTAGGAGGGAGCAAGGCCGTGAATGGCCTTGTAGGCGAGGGTGAGGATCTTGAATTCGATCCTCTGGGGGATGGGGAGCCAGTGGAGGCGAGCGAGGGTGGGAGTGATGTGGTCGCGAAGCCTGGTGCGGGACAGTACACGAGCTGCAGAGTTCTGAATGACCTGCAGCTTGTGGAGAGAGGTACCGGGAAGGCCGGCGAGGAGAGAGTTCCCATAGTCGAGCCTTGAGGTGATAAAGGCGTGGACCAGAGTTTCAGCCGTGTAAGGGGTGAGGTAGTGCCGTAGTCTGGCGATGTTCCGGAGGTGATGGACGGCGGTGCCAGTTGTGGTGCGGATGTGGGGAAGAAAGGACAACTCAGGGTCGAACAGAACACAGAGGTTCCTGACTGGCTTTGAGAGGTGGAGAGTGCAGCCTTGGATGCTGATGCTGTCAGCGCCTGAGGTGCGGAGGCGCTGACGTGAGCCAATCAGGAGGGCCTCAGTTTTACGTACATTGAGCTGAAGAAAGTTGTCTCTCGTTCAGGACTCGATGTCGGACAGCCAGCTGTCAGGACATCGGTGGTCGTGGAGTTGAGGGTATAGAGGAGGAAAGGTAGAGTTGGGTGTCATCCGCATACATGTGGAAGTTAACCCCATGTCTGCGGATGATGTCACCACAGGGGGAGCATATAGAGGGTGAAGAGGAGGGGACCGAGGACAGAGCCCTGAGGAACACCGCATGAGACTGTGCGGGGGCTGGAGGAGAAGCCGTTTGTGGAGACAAAGGAAAGACGGTGTGAGAGGTAGGATCTAATGGTTGAAGTGAGATGAGAGCCGGTGGAGGAGTGGTTGACACTATCAAAGGCAGCACAGAAGTGGAGGATACAGAGGGAGCCCTGGTCACAAATGGACAGAATGGCATTTGTCACTTTGTTTCTGTGCTGTGGACAGCAAGGAAACCCGATTGAAACCCGTTTGTATATAGAGTGGCAGAAGAGGAAGGAGTGAAGCTGGGAAGCAACAATTCATTCAAGGAACTTGGAAAGGAAGGGGAGGTTTGAGATTGGGGCAGTAATTTGAGAACAGGGTTGGATCTCGGGAAGTTTTTTTGAGGATAAGGTGATGACAGCTGTTTTTAAGGGGGTGGCAACAGTGCCAGCTGACAGGGAGCGGTTGATGAGGTCTGTGAATAGAGGGACAAGGAGGTGGAGCTGGGAGGTAAGGAAAGGGGTAGGGATGGGGTGGAGGGAGCAGGTGGTGGGCTTCATGTGGGTTACACTGGTGGTGAGAGAGGAGGGGGAGATAGCTTTGAAGGTCTGAAGGGAGGGATGTGTAGGGGGTGGAGTATGATGGGGAGATGGGAAGGGTGCAGCAGTTGGAAGGTCAGAGGCATCAAGCATGATGGAGAGGGAGTTGTGGAGGAGAGAGTGGTGGAGAGGGAGTTGTGAAGGAGAGTGACCGAGGAGGATAAGTCAGTGCGGGAGGAAGCCCAGAGGTGGAGGATCTCAGATGACTCCAGGGCAGCGGAGAGGGAGTGGGGGGAGATTTTTTTCCAGGGGCAGTAGGAGATAGATTGGGTGGCGGGAGGGAAAGGATTGAGGAGTTAAGGGAGATGAAAGTAGTGATCCGTGATGGTGATAATAATAATCCTTGCATTTGATATAGCGCTTTTCATGTCGGGAGGACGTCCCAAAGCGCTTCACAGAACACACTGTAAAGTGAATTGACTGTATATTTGTGGGCGAACGCGGCAGCCAATTGCGCACAACAATGTCCCACAAACAGTCGTAGATTGAAAATGACCAATTTATTATTGTTTTTGGTTTTTGGAGGGATTATTATTAGGCGTGTGGAGTAAGGAAACTTGCCCAAGGTTTCGCCCTGCCTGGAATAGAACTCAGGTCTCTCACTTGCAAAGCGAGTGCTCTAACCACTGAGCTACAGGACTCCACAGTGATGTCCGAGATGCTGAGCGATGGTGATCACCAGGTCAAACAGGTGGATGTAGGTGGCAGCGTGGATGTGGAGGGAGAGGTTGTGAGAGGAGAGAGAAGTCAGTGGAGATAGAGCAAGTCGCCTCCCCTGCTCACTAAGATTTACCTTGTCTCATTATTGTAAAGTGTGGTTCGACCAGTTATTAGTCAGATCTGAGTGCAGCATCTCCCTTTAATGTAAGCCAATATGGATCATAAATTTTCCAGTGACAATAATTTAGTTTGGATGCTATAAAACAGATGTCGCTTTAAGAGGAGTACTATAATCAAATTTAAACTTTTATTTAAACCAAGTTATGAACTGGGGTTGGTTAAAATGCCACAACAAACGTATTCTCTGTGCCTATTTTTG